GGGGGGGGGGGGGTACGGGACGACAAGGAAACACTGCCCCCCCTGATTTCCACAGCTCATGAGGATGGTAACAGAATACACCGCAACCCAGGACAGGTGCCCAGCCCTGCCTAAGTCACACAGGGCTGTTTAGTCCAGTCGCTCTTAGCCATGTCCGTTCGCCTCTCTTGCACAAAAACAGAACCAGTACACCTGCAACAACAGCAAGAAGCAAGGCTTGCCCAGCTTGGCACATGTCTGCTGTGAGTCACAACTAAAGGTGGGAAAAAAAAACCACACAGTGCAGCAAGAGCAAAGTTACTGAGAAACATTCCTGGAAACAAAATGTGATGCAGAAGTCCTGAGAGGGATGACAAGAGGAAATGTTAGGCAAAACAAGGGAAAGGGTTAATAAAAAAGTTCCCCCCCAAAATCTGAAACCTTGCAATTCAGCCTCTGAAGTCATCAAAATAAGAATGTATCCAACTAAAGGAAGTGAAACCTTCCCTGGGAAACCTGTTTCTCTGCCATTTGCAGTGGTACAGGAGGTGCCAGGGCTGGGTTCTGATCAAATCATCTGAAACATTGTTCACAAGCTTCTACAACACAATGTTACACACACCCTTGAAAACCTGTCAGTCCCTCAAGCACAGGGAAGCAAACCCACCGACCTTACAAACAAAACCCAACATCAGCTGAGCCACCAGATACATCTTCAGGAATGCAAAGCAAATAAAAGATGTTATTTTTCTGCCAGTGAACTTCTTCAGTGGGATAGAAATTTGACATCTTCATGACCCAAATTCCTGTCTCAGGCACAAATGCAGTGAATTAAGGAAAACCTACTCCTCATGCAGCTTACTCAGCTTTCTAAACTCTGTGAAGCACAAGTTCAGAAATCTGGAACAACAAGCATGCAGCTGTTTAGGCAGAACATTAAAATAACCACTCCAAAGGAAGCTACTCTGTGGTACACAGAAAAACGCCTTTCTTATGGCTTTGGCAACCCACACAACTGTTGTGCACACTTCACTGACATTCAGTACCTCTGCATTCTCACTTATAAAAATCCTCACTGCAGGAAAGTAATTTCCATTTGTGCCAAAACTACAGTGTAAGGCCCCTCTGACAATTCAAACTGTACATGATTACGCAGCGGAATGCAGTACCCTTTCCCTCACACATTTCCAAGCACATTTGCTATGAAGAGCAGCAGCTGACAAGCACCAGACTACATCACCCCATGAATTCTCTTACTCAGAGGTATGTTAAATGCCCATCATCTGCGTGAGCTATTCCCATTAAAGTGCAACATATGTCTAAACCTTCAAAAGGTTTAATGATAACCACAGACTTCTCAGACTGTCAACACTTTTACTACATGCAATGCACAGACCCCTTTTGCTCTCACTCACCTATCAAGACCAGCAATTAATTTTCATAAAGACTTATTTGTCACTACAAGGTTGGGCAACACAGTTGTTAGGATTCAGAAAGAACAGAGTAAGAAGATCCTACCTGCTTCCTCTACTGACAAAGCCGATTTCTTTCTTTGTTATTCATTAAAATTTCAAAATTAGTACAACTTCAATACCAAACTGGATTGCTCTCTGCTATAAAAAGAGCTGCGAATTAAAACTGTCAATGACCAAAAAATGATAATATTAACACCTACTGCTGCTGCCTTGAGCAACCAGTACAAAGAAATGTTCTGTTACACTTTTTAAGGTCACCCTGATATGATTGGTCCGTGCTTGCTCAGCACGTATCAAACCGTTAGAACAAGCAGACACTGGGCTCAGAGAACCTGGAGTTTTGCAGCCAGAATCTGCCAGAAACATCCAACCATAGAGAGGAAAAACAAGTGTGTAGGTTAACCCACAGTGCATGCCCCAGAGGAGTGTTCAACTAAAGCACACCCCTGAAGACCATCGAAGACCCCCACAAAAGACCCCCAGAGGATTAGGATATGACTGTTACAACTTGTTCCAGGAAAAAGACTGAATAACTATTCCAGGAAACCTGACGTATACATAAATTGTTCTGCAATATAAACTCTGCACAACTTGCAGCAGGCATGTGGGGTGGCATGACCCCCTGTGCATCCGGTGCTCTAATAAAGAATGCCTGCCTTCTGGAACTTCAAACCAAGGCTTAGAGGGTTCTGTTCCGACCAAACTTATGGTAACACTACAGACAGCAGTGAACAAGCCACAGAAAATTTTCTTATATTGCTAGATCCCAGACTGAAGCTCCAGACCACAGTGCAGAATTGGTCAGACGTGAAAGTAACCATCACTGAGACACATAACATGCTCCTATAGCTACTGTACAACATGTTATATTAAAAAATGCCTGCATGTGTCCTTGATACCATAGACCATATAATATTTTGAAGTGAGTGAGTGATCATAACATACACCACTTGTGGTATAAGGGCATATGTGCCTGACGTAGCAAGAGCTGCACCACAACAGTAGAAAGGCCACAATATTGCAGGATACTGAGGTGGATCCAGCTGCTACCGGAAGCAAGAAGAAAACCGTTCCCTTGAGATCACAGCTTAGCACGAGGCAGTTCTGTTGGTTCAGAACAGACTGCAAACGAGTGTTCTAGTGTCTGTGGACTGCCAGAGGCCTCCTCAAACAAACCGTCTGCAAAAGGTACTTAAGCAAGCTTATTGTCAGAAGATTTCAGTTCCCTTTACAGGATTTTTTGGGGGTTTTTTTAGGTAGGTGGCAAACTGATGGGGGTTGAAAAGCACCCTGATTTCTTATCGAGAACTTCCACCTGGGAAAAGTATAAACAAATCCTTCAAACCTGGTGTGCTAGGTGAGCCCCTACGGCAGCCACAGCCAAGTAGGTATGGGAGCGTCTGGTCACAATTCCCTCCTGCCACGCAGAAACTCAGGAGCATTGCAAGGCTGAAGCCACCGAGCCACTGCTTTGGATCCTCCTCGAACTGTAACGCTGTCGACTTCACACCGATAACCATGCTGTCCCTCTTGTCCTAGGATGAAAGGACAAATTAGCAACAAACCCACACTCCAACTGTCGCTTCATAAGGAAAATAAGAAAGGGCCTTGCTTAAGTTTCCAGTGCTTCTTATTAGGAACCCAGTTTAAATGCACTGGTAAGACCCTACATTAAAATTTAAATCAGAAGGTTGGTCCTTAGAGCTGCTTTGGCAGCCAAGAGCTAATACCAGTGCCAAAGCTATCGACACAGTGCAAGTGTCAATAACTGTCACACAAAGTACATGACACTTCCAGCTTTCTACTTGATATGTAAAACATTGTCAAATAACAATAAAAGGTGCAGGGGCTGGGGTTTCTTTGGTGCTGCTTTAGCTCAGCTGAGAGTGAAGAACTGCAACCTGTTGATATTAGTTTGACAACAAAGTTGTCAATTAAACACAAAAGGGTACACGGATACCTAAAATTTCCCACTCTTACACCACCTGATGTGCATAAATGGTATCATATACCAGTGTCCACATTACTCCAGTGAAGTATTATACACGGGCAAACACACAGACCACTCACAGGAGCCTCTGATGGCAGACCAGCCGAGAAGGGTTCCCCAATTAAATGTAAGTCCTAAAAAGAGAGGGGAAAAAAGTAAAACAGTTATAAGGTTGACAGGAGCGACCTATATTACACATATAGAATTAAATATTATTTGTTCGAGTGTGTATCGCAGCAGCAGATACAATACTGGCATCACTTTTTCTACCACTTATTATCAGGCAGGTAATAAATAAAAGTAATTTGACATTAAATACTCTGGACATACAAGGATAAACACGTACAGCCATGCATTTTCCCCAGTTTAAATCTGCACAAAACTACTCCAGTGTGCTCAAACAGTGGGTATAAAGTTAACATGCTGAGATGCCTGTAGAACAGAAGAGGTCGGTATGACTGCAAAAGACTGCACCACAGCAAGCTGTGGTTACTTCAAGGCTGAAAATTACGATTTCAGTTGAAAAAACTGAAGGCAGCCAGAATATGAAAGCCAAGATACAAAGATAAGTTTCAGGATAGGAGTTATTTTAGAGGCTGAAGACTGAAATGCAGGACAAATGTATGTTTAAGAAAGGTTTTGAGATAACCCCAAAACTGAAGCTGATTCTCAAATCACAGGTATTTACTCCCTCCCTCCCTGTCTCCATCCCCTCACTCCATCAAAACAAAGAAATTATTTTTAACAAAAAAAAAAAACAAAACAAAAAACCCACACCCAAACATCAAGTCTTATGTGTGTTATAAATTGTTTAAGAAACCTCTGGCACAACAGAACTTTGTCTACATGGTATTATTATTTCAATATAGTTACAAGAAATTGGATTGCTTAAGTTCAATTACCAATTTGTAAAATACCCCAAAAACTACATCTGAGGAAAAAAATAGTAACAACATTTCCAGCTCACCCAAAACTAACTGTGGCCAATAGGTTATTCTTTTCATCAGAGGGTAGGCGATCACAAGAGACAAAGAGGCTGCTCCCAGAACGATACTGTAAAAAGTAGCAAGAGGTTTATTGTTTGCCAGTCTAAAGATCGTAAGATAATAGTGCAGCGTTAGAGGAGCTGCATATAGCCTTGAACTCATTCTTTTACTTTCAAATACCATTCTGTGGCTAATAACCTCTTCCTTCCACACCCAATACCTTTTCTGCTGAGACTAACTATACTTAACTCTGGACTTGGAATCAAATTTTAAAAAAACAAAAAAGAAGGTATACATCACCTATAGTAATTCAGATAGAGAAGCAGACAAAGCGCCAAGCTAAGCTGTCCCCCAAGAAAAACAAAGGACTGAAAAGTGGAGATCTCCCCAGCTGCCAGGGGCCTACTTGCTGTCCTCACAACCTAAAAACAGAAAGAATAATATTAATAGTAAATCAAATATAACATATTCCAACGTGTATTAAAGCTAAAAGTCACATCATTAGAATATAAGTGGAAAAATAAATAGAAACAGGTCACAGAACGTACAAGGCAGGAGTTCCTTCAACAATACAAACCTAGCATATCATCACGGACACGAGCTGCATTTCTAAGCAGCAGCCCTTTCTGCAGCCTTTAAAAACTACAACAGAAATAAAGTGCCACTTGCGTGCAGCCAGGCTGATTAGAAACACTGTAGACATCTTGTATATGAATCTTATTACCTTAGGGGGGAAAAAAAAAAAATCAGACTTAAAAAATTGTGAGCCAACTGAATTCTGGGCAACACTTCTGTGCTTAAACACTTTAAAGTGAATACCATATAAAATACTGTAAAGATGCAGGGCTCCTCGAGCACTGTTAATAACCACTGCTGATACACATCTATATTACCCATAACCATTGTTAATAACCATGGAAGCACAATTAATTTAATCCTAGTTGGGATGCAGTGGAGTTTAGAAACTCTGGAACAAGAAATCATGCAAGTCAGACTGAAGGAAGAAACAAACTTCAGAAAAAAAAGTCTGAAAAAACTGTTACACATGGTCAATTACTTGCCAAAGGTGACCACTGCAAAAAGAAAAAAGTTTTGCATGTTGATAAAAATGGTGTAAAATCTATTTGAAGAGGTTCAAGCTTTTTACAGAATACTGTGTATATATAAAGTGTTCTGCATATGCTTTAATAATGTGAATTTACATAAACTCTTTTAGTTTGGTGTGTCTCCCCCCGCCAATCAGGTTATGTTTAATTGTCAAATACTGCTTTTGCTGTTTAAACATGCATTTAACATGACCAATTCCACTGCTCATCATAACCAAACATGGGACGTTTCATTTAAAGAAAGGGAAAAAAAAGATTTACCAGATAGTCAGTAACATAAAATCTAAAGCCCTAAACCACCATCAGCACCACAAGCCAGCATCCTGCTATTATGGACCCAGCTCCAGCACACTTGGTTTGAAAATACCCTTTTAAGGGAGGTAAGAAAGAGCTGCAATGGAAATTTTTAAAACTTTACATCTCACCATGTCATGTTAGTGTAAAAATAAATTCATTAAATTGAAAATTCCATGTTATTAATCACACAGACCACCCTGCCAAACACTTTTGGTATATGTAGTTGTTAATAACATCTGAATCCTAAACTATCCAAAGCTGCCACAAAGCCTGTACTGATTCGTTGCCTTCCCAACAGCACAAGTGCCATGAGAAGAACTTCACATACCAGACTGGCCCAATATCCTCTCTCTCGCCGGCATCAAAACCCAGAACCAGAGGAACAATATAGAAACAGAAAACAGGACAAGCAAACAGTGATGCATCACCAGGAGACTCCCCTGCAAGCCTGCACCCTTGCACATTTCAACATCTGACCCTGGGCACTGCCTTTTGCTTACTTCCCTCTTCTGAACAAAAGGGAGATGAAGAATACAACATAATAGAAGAGGATTAGCTCAGGGTTGGGCACAGTACTCTTCACAGCCATTCTCATGAAAAAAATAACAACGCTTAAGGAAACTCTGCTCCTGAAAATCAGCAAAGAAAAAAAAAAAAAAAAAGGTTGTTGGATGGATTGTAACTAGCAAGTGCAGCCAAAAAAGGGTTATTTTTTTCTGCTGTGCAAAACAAAGTTGAAATATTAACTTGTTCAAGTACTACCCCCAGCTGACATCACCACATATTTTATCTTACTCTAGAAGACTTATTAAAGTTCTAGACAGAGAAGTGTTATACAAAATGAAATCATTTCTTCTGTGCTAGGAGGAAACGTAGACAAATTCACTGCATGCAGCTCTGATAGAAACACAGAGGGATTTCTTAACCTGGAGCAATCACTGCTGCTGTTGGAGATGAGTGGGCATGTATTTGGTTAATTCAGCAGCAATTCACGTCCCCAGGTCTTGGCAAGCCCACGGGGGTTCCTCTACCTTTTTGTCATAGTCACGGCCCCACATGTCATTGACGGTGCAGCCGGCCCCGCGCAGGAGCACCGCTCCGATGCCGAACAGGGACAGCGTGTGCCAGTCGGGGAGGCAGCCCGGCTCGGCCGCCGAGGCGATGCTCCAGCAGCACGGCAGGTACAGCAGCCGCGTCCCGGGGGGGAGGCAAAACCCGCGCGTGGGGTGAGGCGGTCAGCGGGGCCGGGCGGCAGCTCGCTGCGGAGGGCCGGCGCCGCCGCGCTGGCAGACACACGCTTCTCCGGCAGAGGCGTCTCCCGCCGGCACAGGGACCCCCCCCCCGCACCCTCAGAGGTGGCTACAGCCCCTCGCGTGGCCGTGGCCGCCCCGTCGCCTCCGTTATCGCGTCAACAT